GAGAAAAAATGGCTGGTCCCCTCAGGATTTCCTTATGTTTTCCAGTCTCTTCCTGATGAAATAAAGGACTGCTCCTCCCTGAGGTCATTCATCGACAAAATTAGGAAAACGATCTTACTGCGCTACATTAGCTTTGTATCCACTGCAATTCTATTATTATTTACATGGCAATTTTGTTAGTTTCTAATTTTTTTGGTTTCTTTTTTTGTTTTTGTTTTGTTTTGTTTTGTTTTTTGTTTTTTTGTTTTGTTTTTTTACGAGGGCCACGTGTAGTGGTATTTTGTGCTACCCTCACTGAACAAAGGTGATGATAATAATGATTATTATCATTATGATTATTATTATTATTATTATTATTATTATTATTATTATTATTCTCATTCGTTCTACAACTGGGAGTGATATTATAGAATATTCTACCTTGTCACTGGTCAAATTGCCATTTTTTCTCGCCTCCAGAAGATGAAATTCCAAGATCCATGCACAGGGAATGATTCCAATCAGGTGACAAAAAATTGAAGGAGAAAACCTAAGAGATGATACACAATATAAGCGACATTTAATAAATGGTACGGTACGATTTCAAATAATGAAAAGTCCAGAAGAGGGAGTATCTCATTTAGCCAACATGGGTATAAGATTCTTCGACCTCGAACTCATTTTGCGTTTATCAAATTAGTAAAAATGAGAACAACGAGAAATGACAAATGCAAATTAATACCAGAAGTCAATCGATAATTATCTCTCTCAGTTCTTTCATTATCTCATATCCAGCATGAGAAAATCGAGTCAAATTTTAGTTGTTGTAATCTGATCTTTTTTCAAGTGGAAATTCACTTGTATGATAAAACAAATTGGGAGGAAAACACTAAAACATGTCTAGCATACTACTTAACATTGTCGTCGAATCCACTGTTCGAGTGGATCATGGATAGGAAATCAGTCGCTAAAAAAGTAAATATTTTCCTTTTCAAGTAAAAATAATTAAGTTATCGAGTAAAGTTTAGATTGATTTCGATTATCAAAGGAAGTAAGGCTTTATGTTTAACCCGAGGCAACATCTTGTGGATGATCAGGAAAAAATACGTGAAACTGTATAGTTTTTCCTAGTAAAAGGAAGTCATGTGAACTTTTTCTTGGTTTGTCCAAAGTGCATTTACCGCGGATCCCCGATATATTGAAATCAGTCCTCTATAAATTAAACCGAGAAATTTCGGAATTCTACACTACAATTTGCCGATAAGCGGGATTTATAAAATCCCCGAATCTGCTTAAAATCGATGAATTGAATTAAGGCCAAGTCACACGCTGCCAATCGCCATCTTCCACACTTGCTCTTGCTTACAGTAATATTTACTCTGAAAGAAATGAAAGGTGAAAAAAAATGTTGATGCGCGCGGAAATTTAGATAAGTGATTTCAAAGCTGGAAATGGAAAAGATTTCGAAAGCAACCTCCCGCTGGGAACCTGTGAAAGTGTTGATAGTCAAATTTAGGAAGTAATTTCTTGTATATTTTCATTGTTTGTTTTCTCTCATAATTGATACTGAAAGGTTTTATTGCAGTCGGGTAGACCCTAGATAGATAGGCAGGATGAATCAGAGATTCTCGGCTTCTCAAGAGTAATTTTTTTTGTCTGCAGATTTTCTCATTATTTCGGTATAGTAAACATCAATAATCCGTTATAAAATGCGGGGAAGATGAAGAGGCGGAGACGATTTTTTCATTTTCTCCTTGTCAAGGCCAGCATCATACATACGTGTCAATGTTCATGCAGCTTTTTTCGAAGTTTCAAACTGGAGTTACGCCTCTAAGTAGTAAAACAAATTGCACTTTTTACAAGTGATTTTAATGAGAAATATTTAAAACCTGATCTTAATTAACTTGCAAAATTTTTGGAACCTTCATATTTTTCATGCTAAACCTAAATATGTGATTGTGACAAACAGTTTTGAATATTAAAAAAAAATGATGAAAGTATCCAGAATATTGCCTTAATTAAAATACTGAAAAAGAGTTGATTTCAGCCCCTTTTTGATATTTGCTGGATCATGCGTTCCTTACATAATTTCTTTCCAGGTAAACAAAAAAATCATACCTTCATTTTAAGATATTTTTTGAGAACGAGCTATGTCATGTTAATTAAGGAAGGTGAAGACAACCATTTTCAACGAGTTTCTTTAATTACGCCTCAGCTTGCAACAGTTTGTCGGCTGCTAATAAAATAAAATGGGATATTTCTTAATTCTCCGTTTTTCCTTTTTGAAAAACGAGTGAATCGTTGTCAATGAAAAGTTCTTAAATAGGGGTTTTTTTCTTTTCGAAGCTGGATCACAATTAAGCGCAAAATATCAGCTGTCAAGGAGTTGAAAAAGAGCCATTTTTTAGCTGAGAAACTTTCTTTTTAACACGTTATCGAGTGCTTTCCAGTATAGTACCTTTTTAATTTAGTTGCTCTCAAACAACACACAAAAGACTCACTTAAGCCTGAGTGAAAGCTTACTGAAAATTAAATGATATTCTGGGATTTCCTGTACACTGCACTTCGATTTAAAACACCTGCAATGGCCGGATTTGTGGACGAAAACGTTCTATATCCTAGTTAGGAAAAAGGTAAGATTCCGAATGAAACTGAAATTGTGAAAAATCTGTCCGCTATAGCATCATAATAATAAGGTTGTCATTGCAAAATATCCAGACTTGAAATGACTCTCTTCGTTTTTTCAAAATTGAGCAGTTTTTTGTATCGTAAATTGTTATCGCTTTGGCGCAAGAACCCTTATTTGTAATATTTCATAACAACGATTTCACGCCTACTTTGTTCTGAAGGTTGTTAATTATTAGTGCGCTAGAATTTGAAAGACAATAGCGTAATTTAACTTTAATGGTACAGAATTCTTCAGCCGGCAATTAACGCAAAGTACAAAGCTAATTTAAAGATATAAGATTTCGAAGACTGTTGGCTGGAAATGCCACATTAGTCTTGAATTTGGATAAAACTGTTTTAAGAAATCAAATTGAAAAAAAATATATCTGTGAATAGTGCACAAATTATGCTAGTAATCATGAAGTTTTCCTAAGCATTCAAAATTGTTCCTTCTGTCGAATGGAAAATTGTGAGAAAGGTGTATAGCTGGGAAGTTTGCCATATGAAATAACGTGGTATTTCTAATTGTTTTCGTTTCTCTTGCCATCTTACGTTAGATTTGTGAACATATGCTGCAGAATCTTATATCATTTTGTCAAAACAAACCAAGAAGAACGTAATTTGAAATAAACAAAAAATATGGCGCCTGAGGATTCACCATGTTATGAAGTTAAAGGACTGAAGAGGTTCGCTGGCCTAAATTCTCCAACAATTTTTCTTCCTATGCCGAGCAGTGTTCAAATTCAAGTTCGTTCTAAATTATTTCTAGTCTCTCGTGCGCCAAATACATCGACTTGTTTAAGTTTTTCCTGACCAAAACAACTTTTTTCAAAGGTAACGTTTCAGTTATAAACCAGAGCTATAGTTAAAGTCCCGAGTCCGTTATTAGCGACCACTAGCGACCAAATAATGATAATGATAAAGACAAATCAATGTTCTTCTTACCATTTGAATTCTTGTCCCCCTCGGTAGAACACAGAGAACAGCGTTTCCAGAAATAGCAATCCTTCGAAAAATGCCAGATTCCATAATTTTGTATTGCGTGTCAGTTGCACGACCCACCAAACAGACACGATAATATGGCCGGCAAAAATAGATCGAGTGAGCAGAGCTTTCACGATGAAGGAGGCAGACGACATCGAATTTGCTTGCTGTTTATAAATTCTTGGTTGAGTTTTAAACGTTTCAAACCAAAGTAAACGCTCGCTTTCCGCTATTGAAACTGCAAATATTGCTTCTTCTAGTTTTCAGGTTCGTCCTCAAAGCACATTTTTGGTCGGGTCGATCTGAAAGTCACCAAAACGTGGAGAAAAAAAACGCCGTGTTTGAAAGCCAGCTTAGTTTTAAAGAGGTGTTTTCGGCCTTGAGGAAAGTTGTGTATTGTGACTCACCCGCGTACGTCTCTCATTCTAAGTGACACTGTCCTCGAAGACGTATGTAAACTTCGTTATGTGACATTTCCACTTCAAATCAGAATTGGTTGTAAGTCAAAGAATAGAATGGGTCATTATCCTTCACAGTGTCAGATTGATAAAGCCCTGGCATTATCACTGGACGAAGTGTTTGATCAGGGTCGTCTTTCGGAAAGATATAACGCATTTGGGATTTTAATAAAGTAAATGACTACGATGTTTCTATTGTTACATTAAACGAAACGGTCAAACGTCAGATGCGCGGTCCGATCCATGACAGCTAGAGATCATCTCTGTGGCATGGAAATCTTTAATTCATTTTTTTGATTATTGTAACGAATGTAGATTTGCGATATTTAGAATGCATTTAGACAGAACCTGAAAGATCCTGCCCGATAACCGGGTCATTATCTCTCATTTTAATTTATTACGTTTGTTGCCGAGGTGTGCAGTAAAAGATAAATGTTATTTGCAAATGTACTGGCGTTTTTGACAAAGATCTATAGAGAAGCTCATTGTAAAAGATTGTCTTGAACATAGGAGAAGCGCACCCCGATTGGCTGTCAGAGACTCAAGGCTGTTTTTGTGTACAGTCCTCGAGAAATCAAAGAGGCAAGAGCAATCAATTCAAGATTTTTTTGTCGAGACTTGAGCGAAAAAGCAAACAATCGGCTCCACTTCCGCTGATGAAGTGTAAATAAATTCTTACTTCGGATACGCTACTTGTCGTAGATCTTTCTTGAATATTTATACAGCTTGTGCCTATCGCTTTTAGAAATCTACCGGTAATCAATATATTCTCGAACGTTTCACCTGAATTCTCTTGGAAAAATTGGATCTTTTATCACATTTTCCGTTCCTTGACAACGGGAATTAGTTGTTGAATTTAGGCGCAAGATCCTGCATGAAAACTTGCTCGCGCTTACACTTATGCATATGGCGCAAGAGAGTTTCATAAATCGTGCCCACCAGGGGTTTGTATGTAAAATTAATTGATAGTAATTTATGAGTCTAGCACAGAATATTACTCCTTATTTAAAGTGGCCGAAAAAGATTATGAGCAGATACAAAAAAGATATTTTTCCGGATCTTAAAAAAATTTTGCTGTGTACAATGGGTAGTATCTTAGCGCATACAAATCAGATTTACTGCAATAATTTTATTTTTTAATTACCACACCCGTTTTCCGGATCTGGAAAAACTTAGGAAGTCTGTTATATAAATGACATATGTAACAGACAACATAAAATAATAAAATGTCATGAAATTTATGATATAAAATAAATGTATATTGAAGTGTCTGTGTGCGTGTGTTCTTCCCCTTTTTCTGGAAAAATTATCAAAGAGCTCTTGTGGAGAAATTAAAAAAAGGAACCACTTCTAGAGAGTCTACGATCGGTCCCAGGGTCTCTCCTCTTTTCTTCCACTAAAAAACTTGGGGACGAGCTACTCGTGCGCAGATTTGCAAGGAAAAGCCAAACCGTTCTTTACTGGTTGATCTCACAGCTGAAGGCGTAATAGAGTTGAACTTACATGAACGGACAGCTCTCCCTCCACATAAACACTTATAAACAATGGTGAAACAGTTTACTTTAATTTGTGTCTGGTATTCAAACTAGAGACCTAAAAAGAAATTTAGCGAAACATGAAAATTTGCGTCATAAATTGCGAAGTTAATTTGCTCGATGCATTTTAATTAGGAGCAGGGATGTTTACTGTTTACTGACAGTATTGCTTCTTGTTATTCAAATGTGGAAATTTTTTAACAAAATTTTTCTCGTTGTTTGTGGTCAGTAGAAATTTTGCTTACCACAACCTTAACAATAGGTGTCGGAACTTGAAATACCATTTAATTATTGATTTAAATTAAAAGCTATGAATAGACCCGTGAGAAAAAAAAAAAGTTGGTTGTGCAAGTCTGCTAAACTATGGGAAAGAACATCTGTTTAAAAGTTTTCGAAGCAAGACATAAATTTCGAGAAAACTCTATGATTATGTCTAAAATACATATTCCCGATTCTATAGAACGAATTGTTTCGATAACTTTATCATAGAAGTTACTGGCAACTTAGATTTAACGCTCCTTTCGCATTGTATTCATTAAACACCTAGGGAGCTTGGAGATTGGAACTGCTTTACATAACTCATTTTATTCTATCAAACCAGCCTGCATCAATTCAAAGCGTCAAATACGGCTCTTTCTTTCTTCTCTGGTTATCAGAGACGACAGAATTTTGATCTCTTAATGTTTTTTACATTTTGTAATAATTTCCAACTAGTCTCGCTTTTGGGGATTAAGGCTTATGCATTTTTTTGTACATATGACCGTGTTCATAAGTATATGGTGGTACTTTTAAAATACAGCGCTACTTTATTGTTTAATTCATTCAGATGTGTTTTATCTACATCTGTTGCTTGGAATTGCCACGTCTTGCTCCAGATTCTTCCTAATTTCCCCTGCTTTGAACGTCTGCGTGAATGCCTTCGGTAAAAAAAATTGAACCTCCCAATGTAATAACTACAATGGCAAAGCTACAGCTAGGCGACTAAAACATAAAACATATCAGTAGGTCAGGACCTCAGTAACAAAGAAGGAAAATGTTTCTTTGTTTATTAGTACAAATATATCCACTAAGTGCGGGTATTTGTTTTAAAATCTATAGCCTCACTCAGCATGAAATATGATTAGTCGTAATTTTGGCTTATTTTACTGCTTTGAGACTTTTTATCAAGAAACATGGGTGACGTGTGAACGCGTTTTATTATCTTAGAGAGCCGCCCTGACTTTTACTAAGTATTACCAGTTATCGTTCGGTCAGATTGAATCTTATAGACCGGTTATCCGGACGCGACCCGTTTCGAACCCTCTCTATTTTAACTGAGAAGAATTATTTTACTGAAGATCCAGAATGGAAAGAAGAAATAGCTATTCCAGGCCTTTTCTTAGACCTACAACAGCTTCCCGTGTAGCTGAAGTAAGAAACATGCGGGAAAGTCTGCTACTGGCAAAAGCCAGCCAAGGGTTTGCCACTGAAACGGATATAACGCTTAAAAATATTTTCAGAGAGAGAGCCAAGGCTATTGCATATCTGCAACAACTTTACGAACGAAGGTATGGTTTTTTGAACGCGAAGAGCGATGGCTTTAAAATCCAAAGTAACGCGGAAACGAACAGTTTTCAGTCGAAGAGCGAAGAGAAAGGTGAGGTGAAAGCTCCAAGAGTACGACGAGTAAGCCTGGATGTCAACAAGACGGACGAAACGAGGAAAAGAATTCAAGAATTTTTAACACGAGAATTACCGGGACAAAGCAGACAGTCTAAAGACACCCAAAGAGAAAAATCGAAAGAAGAAAGCGCCGGAAATGTCTTTGGAGAGGAAGGATTTAATTTAGACGCTCTTTTTGATACGAAAGGCTCTGAAAGTCACGGAAAGGAGAAAGTTACTTCTAAAGCTCCTTTCCGGGTTCGTTCGCGAGTCTCTGGTATATGCCTCTCACATTGTCACTCTCATTTGCCTTCTGCAAACAACATGGCAAAAATGCAAAGGAAATTTTCAGAACCTTTATTTCCAGTGAGATCTCCTTGTATCCTTAGGGAGAGCCCGCATCGAAATCTTAGCTCTCCGCTTGTAGTTACTCAGATATCACAGAGACTTACCAAACTTGATAATGTCACGAACTCTCATCGACCCTTAACGGCGAGAGAAAAAACATCCACAGGCAAAATTGTGGTGAAGAGAAGGTGCCTTACTCCAATGCCGACAGAAAAGCATAGTTTTTGATTTAACTCTGGTACTTGAAAATTCTGTCAGGCATACTTGGACATGTTTTGTACGGAAAATAAGTATTTGGGCTTCCTGTGGAGAGACTCAGACAGCGGTCGTCGTATATCTTTTCTAGGCTGGTTTTAAGTTTTCTGGCTTAACTTCGTGGTCTTTAGGGACTGGGGAAGAGAATAAGTCATTTACGAACCTCTGAAGCAAACAAAGCGCAATATTATATTCTTTCTTGATGGTCGAAGCAGTTGTGGAAAGACTTTTGAGAGAGGCACAAGTATGGCCAACTATTCAACTGTGTCATGGCCAATACACTCGAGTCATAAACAAAAGCTTGAGACTATCGCTCCGTTTCCACTTTGAAAGCGCAAGTGAAGGCCACTGCATAAATTGGCAGTAATGTTTTCAATGACAATTTTGGTATCAAACATTTCATTACAACCATCAGAGCGTTTTTCGACCTTTTTCAACTGAGTTTCAAATCTCGAGAGCCAGTCTTACATAAATCAATATAACGAATAGGCAGTTTAAAACTTTATGTGGTCACTCACTGTTCCTCTATCCTCTAGTCTCCAATAATAATTAAACTATCCTTTTAATTTTGCTTGCTAATTATAAATTATTTTCTTATTTCGTTGCAATTAAATTTTTGTGAGACTTTTGTTTTATACTACTAGGCATTCCGTGTCATCTCTTCGAAGAAAAAAATTTCGTTTAAGTTTTCATGATGCGCCGATCACACCTTTTAAGATATTTCTGCAAGGAAAAGCTTTGTTTTTTCGCGCGCCACCCTGAAATTATTGTGAGGTGTTTATCGTCTGCTGCAGTATTCCGAAACAAACAATAAGTAGCACCGGGAAACTTCAATTGGGTCAAGAACGGAATTCTAAAGTCCCCATCACTCACGGCTCACTTATCTCAACGGCGTAATTGGCTTCGTCAACACCTGTAGGTGGCAGTAGCGACAAAAACAGGCAACGAGAACATAACACAAATAAACAGAAATTGCATCAAGCGCGGGAAAACGCGAGTGACCGGGTTGAGATTGATCGTGTCTGCATTTGATTAGCTAAGCGGATGGTGAGAGTTTTTTAAATCAACTGATGGCTCCTACTTGAAAATTCTCCTCGAAATCTGTTTCTGCGGCAATTTTTTCTTTATTGAAAGACTAGAACAGTTAAATATTTCATGTGACCACATGGCTGTTCTTGTATCATTGTTGAGAGGAGTTGTGAATTTGTCTTGAGTTTAAACTCGAAGATTAACAGCGAGCACATATCTAAAATGAAGAATGTTTTAGCCTGTCATCTCTCAATTATGAATAAAATAGATCATTGTTTCATTTTTGTCAGTGATGCTTTCGCGTTTGACAAAGTTTAAGTTAAAATTTAACATGCACTTTAATTTTTTTCAACGTTTAGTAATCAAATGGTATTAGCATCTGTGATCTTCGAGAACCTTCCTGCAGCTTCATTTGTCATTCTTTGGCTGTCAGTGGTCTTTAATTACTGGAGTTATCGTATTGGCGCCTCGCCAGCTCTTTGAATACTTCTGGAAAGCCTGCTGTTTCAATTTATTCTAAATATCTCTTCTGGAGTTTCCGAATTCAAACATTTCGGTGTTGCTTCATCACGTCGTGACATTTCATAGCGGGCCTATCGATATATGATGTCAACTGCTCTCATGGTTCAATCGATTCTTAATCATTTTACAATAAAATTAACAGCTGGAATTGACGTCATTAATAAAGGAAAAGGTCAAGGGTCAGAACATGTTTGAACTTGAAATTTGCAATTTAACTTAAGGTAGCTGAGTTTAATTTGTTAAGCCGGAATTACACCCAGTTGTGGTTAGCAAAAATCTAATTTGTTAAAAACGCATGTAGAGCAATCACACCATGCTAAATCAACTTTTTAAAACTTTTTTAATCACCCACAAATTAGATAAGTATCACGAAATACGAAGAACAAAGACGTCCTTTTTTCATTTGAGCTAAATCCGTTTTTACTACTTTTCCATGTTCACTCTTTAGAATGCCAGTGTTCCAATATCATGACAGTGGCTTGGTATAATAACTACTGTCCCACAGTTTGATTGAGTAGTTTCTATTTAAAATAGTGTTTATAACTGACTAAAAACCGCAAATCTTAAAATAGCAATTCATCCAGAATTTTCTTTAACAAAACAAAGCACAGTGCGTTCATCAATGCTTTTTTGTCCTTAAATGCACTCTTTTTCCTAGGCCGTTCAAAATTAGGACCAGATGATATATGAACTACCAAAACTTATAAGAAAATTCAGTGATTGGTTAAAAAAGGGTGAAAGGATTGATCGACACTTTGAACAACTTTTTGGACTCACAGACTCAGTAGTTCTCACCACAATGGCATTAATGTGTTACGTCATTCCTCGCAGCGGGATGATGAGAATTGACGTCAACAGTCTTTCACGCCTCATTTATCACAACAGCCTACCATGCCTTGCAATAAGAGGCATGCTGAGCTTTCGGTTAGAGTTTTTTTCAAAGTTGCATGGAAACTTCAGACCAAATCCAGTTTCTGAAAATCTTCTTCTAATTTCAGGCAGGTTTATGGGGGGTAAATTTAGTTCCTGACAATGACAAAAGCATATCCCTGATGTTCTTGAGCGAACTTTAAAAGGATTTTTAACAGAAACATTCGTTTTCTCCACGTCTTTAGCACTTTCGTCTTCAGAGTGTCTTAAAGTGGTTGCTTGAACTGGTTGTACGTCGGAACTTAAATTTTCTTTTTCAAATCCATCTTCGAAATTCTGTCCATTCAACTCAGAGCTATCTTCTAAATTTTTGGACGCCCTGCTTGGGAAATCTCGTACTAAAGACTCTTGTATTGGTTCTTGCGCTTCTTCTCTGTGATTAAGGACCCGACTAAGTTGTCTTCCACCATGAGTTTTCACTGGAATTTTTGTGTCATTTCCAGCTACGAAACCATTCCTCCAGTCTAGAGCAAGCCTTCCATTTTCCCTACGCTGAAAATGCAGCATTCCAGGGCTACTTCGGTGGATCTTTTTCAAAAAGGCATTAGTTTTGGCCTTCTCTCTGAAAAAGTTTTTCAGTGTCCAGTCTTTTTCGCACGACAATCCTCTGCTGGTTTGCACAAGCAGCCGAGTTTCACGCTTGTTTTTTGCATCAGCGATTCGAGATGCTGTTGTTGGAGCATATATACTCCTAGAATAACTATTTCTCCTTTGCATCGCGGAATTAAATGAATATCTCTTATTGGTTACTGACCACGTTTAAACCACGAACCTTTAAGTGTGTGTGACCTGTCAAGACAACGTTCAGAGGTTCAACTGTGGAATATTCTAGTCTTATGTCTACTTTGTTCCGTAAAGAATATGGCTATAATAAGAAACGGTATCTTCACGCTGCTAAAAATAAAGAAAAAATCTCCCTTGTGAACCAAAGTATGTTCGTCTTTGTTTGAACACAAAAACCCTTATTGTGTAGTCATTTTGTCTTATGTGCGTCATTGGCAATCTTTGAATTTTGGAACTGATAACAGGAATGAATGGAGTCCAGTGCATTTTGTAATCATACGGGTGATTAACAAAATTGGACGACCGCGAAGCGCGAGTCTATTTTGTTACTTAGAGTTTGATTACAGACATAATTGGACGACAAGATGTCTTGTTACCAATTCATCAAAACAGTGAAAAATTGAGAAATAAACGAGTCATCGGTTATAAGTTTTCTTATAAAAAACAACTCGGGGAAAAACATGGCAATAGCACCCGCTTGTGACGCGCAAACAAGCATCAACTTGCATCGACTTTCTCGATCAGGCGTCATCTTAAAAATTGACCGATAAACTCCTGGGGACGAGCTGTGCATAATGCTGCAAATACGTGGCACCGGTTAAGCCTGGAGTCTAACGAAACGAAACATGGCGGGCGATACATTGTTGATTCTGTTTTGGACAGTTTTAGCAGTTGTATTTGGAATATATGCGCTCTGGAAGTATCTTAGATCTGGGAATACCAAATCACAGAAAAGTTTAACTGTTCAAGCCTCTGAAACTGTAAAAGAGGCGCGTTTGAAATATTTTATTGGTAACCAGGAAGTAGTCACAAGCGAAACTCGTGACATGTCCACTAATTCTGGTGCAAAATATGAGATTATTTCCTCGGAAGAAACGAGAGAAGAGGAAAGAGAACCAGACATAACTGACGCTAAACTAGATTCTGTAGCTCGCCAGCCTTCTTTGCAGTACACCAAGTTCACTGACGGACCAAGTAAGATGAGCGGAGTCGGCAAAGTTGCAGACAACAGTTTCGATCCAGAAACGGGTATGCCGATTACTCGACCACTTAAAACATTAGATGAGGCCTTGTCTTGGAGACAGGGATTTGACTTTTTTAACGTAGCCTCAGTTCCATTGAGTGAACAGGGCAGGAAGACGGAGAAGAGACCTCGGACTTTAGTGTGTCATGACATGATGGGAGGGTATATTTTTGACAGGTTTGTGGATATTTTGCACCAGTTCTCCAGCGTAAATATGACCTGGAGATATTGCTGTGAGACTCGGGAAACCCTGGATACCAAAAATATTTCTGGAGGTCTTTGAGTCTCAAAGAAAAGTCAATTAAGCATCAGAAGATTGTACAGCAAACAGTAGAGGTTCATAGTTTGTGGGTTTGAGTTTTACACTTGTGTGCTGGACTTAATCGTAATTGGTTAGTTCATGACTGACCTGTCAATCAAATCAAAGTATTAGCAGCTGTCACTTTAAAAAGCAGTGATAGTCTACAAAATATTGGAAATGATCAAATGGTGGATAATTTACTAAACAGTTATAATATATCTGTGGGAGACATGGTGGCCTAATGTTTGGTGCACTGGACTCTGGGTAGAGAGGTCCAGGTCTGAGATCTAGCAGTGATATTGTGTTGTGTTTTTTGGCAGTACCTTTATACATCCAGGAGTATAAATGGGTAGTGGCAAATTGTCAGGGAAACCTGATGCAATGCTGGGG